TTTTGCGAATAATTGAGTCTATTTGTCCATATATGTGAGTATTATGCTTTAGGTGAAATCCTTATTAGTTTTGGAATAGGTTTACATACAATGTTTATTGAATTTCTCTTATGTTTATTCCTTTATTTATTTTGCAGACTTGCTTGCTGCTTCTGATCTCGACATCGTTCTTCTGATAGTGATTATAGTATGTGCAGCCTGATCAAGGACTTCCACCAGATTTTGTGGTCATAAGCTGATGTTGGTTGTATTGCTTCTTGGATCAAACAACACATGAAAAAAAAAATCTATATAGATTATAGGAACTTGAATTTGTTGAGAGTGTGTTGCTATATAAATTCTGTTTAAGGATTCCATTGTTTTTTTGAAAGAGTATGTATGCATTTTGTTGACATCAAATCAAACATGTTCTTATTTCATGTAAAATTCAAATACAAAACTCCAACCACTTTAGTAGTATTTCATCCCAAAAATCTATATACAACAAGTGACAATAAGTATTATCAGCTCTCCAATATTCAATAACATTTCATCAAACTCATCAGACTTGGTTTACTCATGTATTCTCAGCTCCAATACCTTCAACAAGTTCAATGTATTATCAGCTCTTCAATATCAACATCAACCATATTATTCATCAACCTAACCATCATACTAGTATTCTCATATGAACCATAATAACACCAAAACTAATATATGTACAACATGGTTGTTGGTTCAAGTAAACAACATAATTCACACAATATATAGCCTCAACTCCAACTGATCTTATTTCTGGATCCATCCATCAGTATAAAAATCTTCCAAATACCAATAATAAAATTACATATAATGAAGTAGCTCACACGGTAAAAAAAATTATTGTTCTTCCACAATTCATTTGCTATTTTAATACTTCCAAGACGATAATGAAGCAATGCAATTAGAAGCACCCATCAAACACTAATCCTCAACAAATAGGAGTTGCAGTAGTTTTTCTTGGTTCATTTCCGATAGGTACAACCTGCACAAAATCAGAAGCATAAAATCGCAATCACAGATCAGAATCGGTTTTTTTTTTTTTTCTCATATAGGTACACAAATGTGACTAATTACATTAATTAACATCAATTTTTTACGGAAAAAAAAGAATCTGGTTAGCAAAGTCGACCCCGAACCAAAGAGGAGGTGTCCCATCATCCGTATGTAGAGGTTTTCAGCGGCTCCGCTGAAAAATGCAATTTCACCGTAGATGATAGAGAGCTGGCAGCCATATCTCACAAACTTACCCGGTAATTGGCCGCACACCTTGGGTAACCATAAAAAGTCAGTCCGGGTAGGGTTAACACACCGTCGTTAGCCACACCTGCCGAAACCGTCATGGGTATGGTTATGCCATCGAAAAACCATATAAACTCAGTTGGAATCTTGATTTACATGGTACTTGATTTACATGGTACTTGTTGACTTGTTCTGTGTCATTCATGTTCTGTGCCATAGATGAGATTGAGAAATCAAAAGAGGGGCGTGAATAAAGAGAATTGGAAAGAGAATGAGTGTTGTACCTTTATTATTTTTCTGTATTATTATTAAGGTAATATTATAAAAAGGCATGAATCCTATTTTAAGTGCCACCTTTGCTGCCACATAAGCAGATGGTTCAATAGCAAAAACTATCGACGGGTTCGGTAGAAAAACTGGATTGTGGCCAATTTTTTTACCACATAAACTTCCACCTCAGCAAAAAAGAAAAGAAAAAAATAAATGCAAATTTACATGTAAGCGGGTTGTTGTCACCTAATTGCCACGTCAGCAAAAAAAATGAAATTACACGTAGGCGGTCCAGTTATGGTGACCTGCTATATGCGGTTAGAGGATCAAAAAACTAATTTTTTTTCACCTAAAAGACCATTTAAAAATAGATCTTTACTGAGATCAAAAGTAAAAACGAGGTCAGTTAAGGGACTAAAAACCTTTTTTTGTCATTTCATGACCATGTTAATTAAGATGGTTGCACTTAAAAGAGCACGAAATTTTGTTAGGTTTTGATTATAGGAAGAAAAAAAAAAAAAATCACAAGCTTTATAGTTGGAGTTATATGTTTGCGATAGAAATACCTTATTTAGGCTATATTGAAGATTGAGTCCAACTTTTAGTTCTTTTGCAATTAAAATAGCTTTTCAATTTGACAGTAGAATGTATGAACTTTTATTTTTGCAAATTGATGATGCAGTTAACAAACCAAATGCCTACGTGCTTGGCTCGTTGTGTGATGTGGAGAAGACGAGAACTGCACGTCAAAAAATAAATAAATAAATAAATAATAAATATCTTATAAAAAAAATTGAGGCTCTTGAAAATCCTATTTGTAATATTTGAAGAAAAATGGAAACTTTTAAATTTAAAATCCACTCACGCACCTCAATTGAAATCTCATCTCAATTAAAAGTAAATGTCAACATATTTAAATGTTACACGGACGAAAAAATTGGGTCTAAACAACTACGCACATTAATAATAATTGAAAAGTCAACAAGTTCGTTTGACTTCATTTTCATCACTATATTTTTATTGTAACTCAACATGGAGAGGGATCACATTGAGTAGAGAAACTGGATGCCATTACACGGCATTTAGATTAGAAGCATTAAATAGCATAAATTAAATGCTAATAAGATATTGACTAATATAAATCAATTGGTATAGAGACATAAATTTTATGGCCAATCAAATTGCGTCACGTGAAAATTAATTTATTAAAAATAATTCATATTTTTTATTTATATTTTAAGAATTTCTACATATTTAATTTTTAAATTTACATAGTTAATTAATTAATATATTAATATTTTAATCCTTGACCAATCAAATGATGTCAAGTGTCAAATCTTATTTCTTGGTAAATAAACCATATATCTTCTAGAAGATCTTGGAAGATTTAAGAAGCAAGATTCGAAACCGGTATAAAGAAGATTCAAGATCTACTTTGCGGCGAAGACCAAGGACTCATGTTCTTCGCATTATTGGGATATTACGACGTTTGATCCGAAATCAAGGCGTTGGCCCTCAGATAAATGGTAAATCGAGTCAAATCAAGTCAAGGAGAAGATAAACCCGAAGATTTCACTCCAAGACTTAAAATTGTTCGTGAGAAAAATCAGAGGAGAAAAATAAATAGAGATTGTAACCTACTATATTTATTTGATTCGAGAAATTCATTTATAAAATATTTTTCGTATTTGTAGATTCAATACACAAAATTTGTTATTACAATTTGATCAATAAATAAATACTCCATCCAATGTTTCTCCATTATTGTATCCCATGAGCATGTGGACCAATTCATATCTTATGGTCCACCATCGCAATGAACATAGGCCAACTTGTCATAAACATACATATTTGACATTAATTGGCACTTCTGGATAAGAAAATATATATTATGTTGTTTATGAATATGTCATAGTTAATTAATTAAGTTTGGCTGATGTTTCTTTTTATTAAAAAGTATTTATGATTCAATTCCAACTCAAGATTTAACAACCAAACATAATGCAAGCTCAATTTAATTCAATATATTACTCTACGCGTGAAACGAGCCAAACTCGAGCTTACATTTTTATTTATTTGCAAACGAGCTGAATCGCAACGAATCGTTTATTAAATGAGCACGAGTTTAAACATGAAATATTTGGCTCGAATAATCTAGCAGACGCGTGTATAAATAAATCAAAGTATAAAAATTATTTTTAAGTATTAACATAAATTACATGAGTCACACATTAAATAATACTAACACGTGTTGTATTTGTAAAATATAAATATCAGTTATTATATTTCTAGTCCTATTTTATATGGAAATGGACCTCCTTAAAAAACTTGTGAGTTCCTAGCTACTCTCTTATACATATGACAAATGATAATTTTTAATTAATTTATTATTTTTTTATTAAATGGTGGAAATATATTTTTTGACATGTACATGAATTTTAATTAGAAGATGATGTACTAATCCCTCTATTCTTGTTATATGTCATGTCATTTAAGGTTTATATATAATTTTATTGAATATGTCACGCAAATAAATGAGATTTAGAATTAAATTTTATATACTCAAATACCATGCATTTGAAAAATCAGAAAATATATAAACTAAACAGTAAAATTCATAAGTAAATTTATTTTAATGGAAGTCTAACACAATCAATTATTATCTCGAATAAAATTATAAAAAAATTTATTTAACCAAATAAAAAAAAACACAAAAAGAAGAGGAAAAACGACATAATGAGCTAAAAAGAAAAACAAAGAGAGACTTAAATCATGTTCAAATATACAGTTCAATTATTTAATCTAAAACATATGTAACTAATGCGACACAAATAAATGAGATTTAGTATTATATTATATATACTCAAATACCATGTATTTGAAAACCAGAAAATATGTAAACTAAACTGTAAAATTCATAATTAAATTACATATACTAAATATTGTAATGGAAGTCTAACACAATCACTTATTGTCTCGAATAAAATTATGCAAATAAATTTTATTTAACCAGATGACATACTGAGTTAAAAAGAAAAACGAAGAGAGACTTAAATCATGTTCAAATATACAGTTTATCGATTTAATCTAAAATAAATGTAATTTATATAGAGCCAAAACAATGGGAGTAGTTGTTGTGAACCAAAGTTGTTGTGAACCAAATATTTACACATTGCTCGCGTATTAGAATTAGGTTAGAAAGAAAACACTATTTGAATACATGAAATTCAGTAAATTAACTAAATGAGTTATAAATTAACTCATGATTCTTATCACATTTATAGTAAGCATGCTTTTGGACCAAAAAATTCAAAAACAGACTTTTAAGCCCGAAATCAAGACAATACAATCTAGATGGATCAACTTATTTATAACAAAAAAAAAAATGACCGTGGTTCTAAATTTCTCCTTTTGTTATATCAAATCCACCCATTAATAGGACGAAAATTAATTAGCGGGCCCCGTAAGAGAAAAAACAAACACAGGTTTGGATAAAATACTAAAATAGTCATTAAGAAAATCTGCATTGTTTAAAGCATTGGCAATTTGGCATGATACATGCAGATCCTCACGCGGTTAAGATGGAGAATTGTCAATTAATGCACCTCATGAACGACGTCGTTAGAGCTATTAACTACCCACCAATCAAACACCAGAAGGGTCATTTTCACATTGTAATAAAATACTACAATAAACTCTAGTTTCAAAATAATGTTTATTTACTAGATTTTTTTAATTCAGCTTTGATTACTTCAATATTTGCTTGCACGTCCTTTATAAACTACACTATTTATTACACCACTTGTTTGATTTCAATTCGGACCCATCTTAATCTCTCTCTCTCTGTCTCAACACACACACGCACATAAATATCATTGGTATCATCATCACAGGTAAATCAGCTTAAACGGCCATGACCAATAGATTCAGCAGCCACCAATTTGTAGGCCACCGCGAAGATTCCGAGTACTCGCCGGCAACCAGCGCCGGAGACTCGCCGTGCTCCGCCGTGTCGGCGGAGGCCAGGATTGCCTCTACCTCATCTTCCAAAAGAAGGTATAATACTTTAATTGTATACTTATATATAATATTATAGTTTTTTTTTTTTTTCTTATAACGAAATAACTTTAATTGTCTGATTAAATAATTTAATTGAGATTTTTGCTCGAAGAAATTAAATATTTAATGGGAAAAAAAATTAATTTTAATATTACAGTAAGCGCGCGATACACAAGAGAGTGGTGTCAGTGCCGATCGCAGGCGTTGAGGGACTAAGGCTCAAAGGCGATCCGATGAGCGCTCCACCGTCCGATTCTTGGGCCTGGCGCAAATACGGCCAAAAGCCCATTAAAGGCTCCCCATATCCCAGGTAGATATATTCAATTTTTTTTATATGATAATATAATTAGAAAAAAAAAATTGGAATACCAATAAAATTTTATTTAAATTTTTTGCAGAGGATATTATAGGTGTAGCAGCTCGAAAGGATGTCCGGCTAGAAAGCAAGTTGAAAGAAGTAAATTGGACTCTAAGATGCTTGTGGTCACATACTATTGCGAGCACAACCATCCTTGGCCGGCGTCTCGAAGCAACCACCGCACAGCCGCCGCCGGAAATGTCGGAACTCCGGTTTCCGATGAGGCTGGGGAGGAAGAAGAGGAGGAGGATGAAGAAGAAACAAAACCTGCAATTAATTTATCAAATAACGAACAAATTCAATCTCCCCATGAAATTAATGTCAATCTCGGCGACGCGCCGCTAATTGACGGCAGTGAATTTGGGTGGCTGAGTGATTTTGACTGCACGAGTTTTTGGCCGGTGTTGGAAAGTCCAATTTTGACCGACGAGGTCGAGATTTTCGCAATGCGGGAAGAGGACGAGCCGCTATTTGCCGATCTAGGCGAGCTGCCGGAGTGCTCGGCGGTTTTCGGCCGTGGGATGGAGGGCCGACGGCGGCGGCCGGCGGGTCTGGCCACCAACGGCTGAGATTCTTCCTTGGTTTGTTTGGCCTTTTCGATACGAAACGGATGCTTCGGTGAATTTTCAGTTCACCTACCTATAAGGAATTTTTAATCTTTGGATCAAAAGATTCAAATCTCACTTTTATAGATTTATGTGAGAATTGGGAATATATTGATCCAGCGAATAAAAATTTTTGATTGTCGTGCTGTCATAAGATAACAATTTTTTTTTTTCTTTCATTTTCGTTTGTTTAAATAAAAAGAAAGTTTTTTTTCTTTATTTTAAGTTGTAATTTGAGTTGATTTTTCAGAAGTGTAGTGGTTAGGGAATAAAATATTGAAAAAAATTGATGATTGGAGGGTTTGATGTCACAATTTTCTTTGTAACTAAGCGCGTTTGTCCTTTATTTCTCGTTGATTCCTTATCCTATTTGTAATTTTTTATTAGTCCAGCCTGATATTTTATTCCAGGGATAGAAAATATATTATTGGTTTATCAATAACCGTTGATTTGTTTTAATTTTTACTTTAAAAGAATATTTGTTTTAACATGGAAGCATAAGACATTGGGAAATTTACATTTATGCTATGTGATTATGAAATTATTACAATTATACCATACACCTATAATTAAGTATGTCTTTACCTAAAAAATAACATTTAGTTGAATTAATACTTAGATTCAGTTATTATTTAATGCTAACCTCCCCTTATCTAATGCATGGTTTTCGTTTTGGTTACTAGAAGAAAAAAAAAAGGAAAAATTTTTGCAGATATTACGGTGGGGAATGGATTAGGGAATTAACAACTCTCGACAAATTTCTTGTTTTTCGCGAGGTGGTAGAAACTGCAGCATATACCGAAAATATACTGAATATAAACCCTAATCACATTTTAACTGTCGAGAGTTCCTCAAGAAGTGTAATATATATAAGTTTTTGAATATTTTTTAGTATGTATTGCATTCAAATATGATTTTATTTATATACAAAAATATAACATGTCTATAAACTGAAAATATACTGTTTATATACTCCACATATATCAAATAAACTGTAAATATACATCAACTAAACTGTAAATATACTCAACATATATCAAATAAACTGTAAATATACATCAAACTGTAAATACTCTCTATATACTGTACATATACGACACCGTCATCCCCGAGCTCGCCGCCCTCCAATCCGACTCCCAGACCGGCATCATCCGCCTCTCCTACGACCTCCGCCGCCGCATCCTATCCGTCCACGCTCTCATCAAGGGCCTCTGACAGAAAAATTATACCAAAAAAATCGAAATCCCAATTCGAATATATTCGATAAATTGTGTTTCTTTTTGGATTTCACTTCCACTCAGAGAACAAAAATCCATAAACGCATAAAATCAAGGGTACCCAATATACATCAAGGAACGAATATACAAAAAAAATATAGAAAAACAAAAGCTTGATTAAGGACCATAAATTAGAAAAAGAAAAAGATTAATTAAGGACCATGATTTCATAATCACGGGTTTTAGCAGAGATATGATAGCAGAGAGATGTTATTTTCTACTCTTTTGGTAAGATTATATTTGATTTCAATTAATTATACCAATTGCATTTAATTAGGCCCCATAAATGCTTAATAACGGTTACACCTGCAGAATTCAATCTCTTAGGTATAAGTGCAATATTTTATGCTTGTTTTGGTAATTTTATAAATAAGAAAGTATTTTGTGTAAAAGTGTAATATATATCATAACTTATTGTAAGGGGTGCAATTTCCTCTTCTACATTTGATCAACTTTGATACAAAAACTGTTCTTGGATTGAGTTAAATCAACAACACCACTAACGACTTTAAGTCTCAAGTTTCGGTGACCTGCAATGCGCCGGTGAGGGGTCTCGGTGGAAAAGCATCCAACGCTCAAATCACTATTCACTCGTGATCAGAATAAACGAGAAATTGTATGTTTTAATACGTAAATATGTGTTGTGTATGAAATAGAACCGATCACCCTTATACGTTAGGTTGTCTTACTGGCCAAGTAGAGTTCTAGCTAGGAAAGATATCTAATCATATCCACTCTCTCAACTTATCATGTCTGTAAGATGTGATACTCCTTATCGAGATACCCTTTCAATCCTTGCAGGATTATGTCCCCTTTTACCATCCGACACTTACATCTTTAAGTCATAACCACGACCTCGTGATCTACATGCCTTTGACTCTAGCTAGGTCGTAACCACGACCTCTATCTACATAACGTTAAGGTCGTGGGGTCTTCTCTTCATATGTACGAGCTCCTAAAGGAGCCTAAACTCTTGTCTTCTCATCAGGTCGGCCTGTACCCTGAGGTTCCTAAGTGATTTCCCTGACTAGGTGCTAACCTCTTGGGAATTGTTGTTTTTATATGCTATAACTGAGACCTTAAGTAAGTGCTAAATATGAGCTCCAAGTGTGAACACTCCTAATGAGTCTGGCCCAATTTTGCCTTTTTCACTTGAATAATAGAACATTCTACTAGAGTAATATTATTACACTCCCCATTTAGCTCTGAATTACAAATAATTCGTCTCTTAACTTAATTGCTCGAATTACCTCCCCATGTTTAAAATCTAGCATCAGTTTATTAATTTTATTAATGACAATATAATTAATCAACTTATGTATCCGAAACTAGTACCACTCAGTTCTTTATTATTATGTCGAAAACTAATCCGCCTATAGGGCTTAACATAATAATCCTACCTAAGCTCATTTTGGGGACATCATCAATCTGGTGGATCGGGACACAGTGACCGTAACTTAAAGACTCATCATGTAAACAATATCACTTACCAAAATACCGAGTATCTCAACCTAACATAATAGGCTTCACTGTTATTAAATCAAATAAGCAAGTGTTGAATGCATATGCCTGTTTATTGTCTTACGAGTTAAAAGAACACAACAATTACTGAGGTATAGATTATTTAATTGGTCAGTATAAAATAATCTTCTTCTCCTGTAGGTCTGTTCAATACATCTGAGATGTACCAATGTAGTTCGTCGAATGGTGTCGCGAAGGAGACGATCTTTTTTCAGCGACGAACTAAGGACGTGGCGATTAATAAGGAGAAAGACACGATGGCAGCGGGATTTGAACGACGACTATGCAAGTGCACAGTGGAGAGGGAGAGAGAGGGGATGCAGTGACAGAGAGAGGGTTGGTGGGATGGGGTCAACGGGTAAAGAGGGAGTGAGTAGGCATGAGCGGCTCTTGGGGGAGGCAAGCTAGGCTCATGCGGGCCTCAATTTTTTTTTTTAATATTATGTATTGTGTTGGGCTTGGCCTATTTATACAAATGAAGTGACTAATGGTTAAATATGAACTCGGACCATTACACAAATGAGAGCTAATTAATGAAGGAGCTAATGACAAAATATGTACTTTGTGATAGAAATTGAGGTCCTAAAATATTTCATTTGTTTTTTTATGATGTTCGGTCAGAACAAGTTGTGTGAGAATAAATATTCTTTGCAGTGATATGGTTTTTATTATCTTCTCCTGGTGTCTTCATGACTGCTTAAGTGTAATTTATTAAAGATCTTTGTAACGTAATTTATCTGTTCCAAAGTCAAGAAACACAAGAAAATTTGTTTTATTTTTAATTACTTATTTATTTAATAATTTTATTTAATTATGTTTTTTTTTCTATGATTCTATTTGCAAATAACCTACCACGCAAGTTCAATAATTAAAAAATTCAAAAAAGAAAAACTTGTTTTTGGCCTGTAAATTTCTGGAGACGGCCCTGTGAGTAGGTGGTGATAATGTAAAAAATATTCTTTATGCGTGTATAATTTTGTCTTCTTATTTTTTGTCTTTAAATTGTTAGATCTTGCCTTATTATGCATTCTTATTTATTTCACTAACAATCATTCCATTCATCTATATATATAATTATAATTATACCATTTCTTTAGTTGTAAGGTCACACCCACACATATTCAATATGTTTTATCAGGCATCAATTTATGTAGTTGCTGACCTGCAGCTTTATTTATTTAATAAAAACTTCTCACGGTCGTGGATGTGTAGTATAATTATATTTTCGTTAGCTGTCCAAGAGTTGACTATCAATTTAAGATAATATTATCTTGTCCTGTACTCAAGTCTCAAACTATAAAGTATTTTTCTACTTATGTCTTGTAAATTAATGGAACATAACAACATAAACTAATAAACCATCAATTATCAATATATTCTACCAAGTAAACGTGGTCAAAACCGGGTTCCGGCCGATTCTATCGACCTTTATATATACAGGCTGGTTCACTGAACTAGCAGTTCAGGGTTCTGAACCATTCTTCTAGTTTTGAGCCGAAAATGACAAAAAAAAAAAAATAAAAAAATAAAAAAATTAAAATAAAAATTAATTTTTAATTTGTCGAACTGTCTGTATCGGTTTTGGTTGGCAGTCTAATTTGTGAAAAAAAAATGAACACGAAGTGGCCCGAGTAACACTACGGGCCAGTTCAAGGCATGCGGTCAACAGGGTTGACCAAGTTTACGGCCAAAGATGACCACAAGTTAATATGTCTATAAACTGATGTGATAGGAGATTAACAAATTATATAAGATGAATATGATGTTCAAAGATCATAGTATCTATGAGCAGTCTTAAATTTAATACGGCCATGTACAGTGGTGTGAATATTTTACGCCAATACAACCTCACTATCAATACATCACAACTATATAATATTTTAAAATAATTCTGATAAATTCAAAATTTGGAAACTTTATATAAAGAAAAAAAAAAAAAAGAAGTTTACTTTAGCCGGCATATGGATTTTCACAGTTAGAATAATAGAATAAGTCTAAAAAGTTATATAATATGGGAAGAGTGTGTGTAATAAATAGAAGAACTGATTTGCCCCCACATCATGTTACACGTTCATGCAATCGCTTTCAGATGCGTAATTTAGATAAAGATATAATCGATTACCAACTCTTGATTAATCCTCCATCTCATCCCTTTTTGTAGCATATCAGTGATTGCATAAAAATATGGGAAAATTTTTTTTAAGCTCCCAAAGTATGCCTTTTTTTTTACTTTTCGATATAAATTTTTTTTTTTTGACAATTTGCCTCTCAATGTAATCGAAACTGACAGTTTGTCTCCTTGATTGAAAACCCTAATATAGTACAAAAGAGTTTTTAACTTAATTAATGATGAATTTTAAATTAATCTTTAAAATTGATTTAGGGCTTTTAAAGCCCATGGCGAGACGAACAAAATGAAGTATGATTTGTCGATTTCTGAAATTGATACCTCTAAAATCGATCCACGAAGATAGCAGGAGCACGTGTGTATAGAAAAAATTTCAATTCAAGTTTTCTGATAATCAAGATATCCGATTTTCGATTGAGATGTGTCATTTGAAAGCTTGAAGGACGAGTTTTCTATCGAAGTAAATCTTATGAAAATCCAACGGTCGAATTTTGGTTAGTAGCCTAAAAAAAAGCTAACTATTGATCAATAGTTTTCTAATTACTGATCAAAATCCGACCGTTGGATTTTCATAAGATTTACGTGTTAGAAAATTGGTCCTAGTAGCTTTCAAATGACACCTCCCAATCGAAAATCGGATATTTTGATTGTCAGAAAACTTGAATTGAAATTTTTTCTATTCACACGTGCTCCTACTATATTCGTGGATCGATTATAGAGGTATCAATTTTCAGAATTCAACATATTATACCTCATTTTGTTCGTCTCGCCATGGGCTTTAAAAGCCCTAAATCAATTTTAAAGATTAATTTGAAATTCATCATTAATTGAGTTAAAAAACTCTTTTGTACCATATTAGGGTTTTCAATCGAGGAGGCAAACTGTCAGTTTCGATTACATTGGGAGGCAAATTGTCAAAAAAAAGTTTATATGGCAAAGTCAAAAAAACGACATACTTTGGGAGGTTAAAAAAAAATTTCCCTTCAATATTTAACACTTAATTAGNATTAAAGAGTAAGCGAACAAAATAAATACATGTCTGATATCATATTGTACAGCGAAATATACATAATACATTTACAAAACTTAAACGTACTAGACAGGAACAGGTGTTTCTAAGCTTTCTTTCCCTGTAATACCTTCTTTCAGATCTTTGAAGAATACACTGTAATCTTTTTTCAGAGGAGGATTTTTCGGGTCCACTGTGTATGGCTCGCTGAATGGGACGACACTTTTAACCTTCAAAGCCACACAAAGGAGCAAATTAAAAAGAAATGAAAATATTTGGACTAAATTTCGATTAAATTTCTAAAGTATTATATAAATAAAGTCTTTACCTCAAATGTTTTGTCACAAGCGTACGGGCTTTCTAGTGCAGCAATGCATATTCGAGCAACCTCCTCCCGGGAGATCTTCCCCTGCAATAAAATTATTCACTTTTATTTATATATCTCATGATAAAACACAATAAACGTGCTTTTTGAATTTTTCGTGATGTGATATCATACTGTTATATTATCTCCTTGATCAAAGATGAGATCAGCCCCAGCAGGTTCTTCGGTTAAAGCACACGGCCTCACAATTGTATACGGTATTCCGCTTTCTCTTATCAAATCTTCCCCCTGCAATTTTTAANGATTGTGTTTTGTAGCACGTTCCATATTTTTTTTTCTATTAATGATATCACTAAATTCAAACGAAAAACAAAGTGGATGAAGAAGAACGAACCTTCAATTTGTACGTGAGAATGAAACCCAATTCTTTGTTCAAACGAACGGCTGGAGGCTGCTTGCTCAAATCAAGGCCCGGCCTTTCAGGTCTAGTGACTCCAGCTGAGCTTACATGCACAAACCTGAAAAAAAAGATAAAAAAAATAAAATAAAGGAAGTTATTGAAACAAACTCAACTACAAATAAAAGTCTTGAAAAAAAAACTTTCTAAGCCAAAAAAATGAAACAATTTGCTGTAACCTGGGAGTGATTGGCTCTTTTAAATAGGCTCGTATGCTCGATACTGGAAGCTGAAAAGGGCCTTCAACAAAAGTCGGGTTTATCTTCCCATCATACTCGAACTTGCTGAACATGAGCTGGAATAGTATAAATTTATCAATGTACTACACACAATAAAAATGAGTGCTTGAATTTCAAAAATGGAAATTTATTAATTATCATGCCTGCAAAGAAATAATTTCACTGGGATTGAAAGGTGGCGCATCAGATACGGTCCGTGCTCGAAATATAGGCCTCAACGAAGAGAACGGCAAGCGAATCTAGAAATAATAATTAGCCAAAAAGATAAAAGAACTATTATTTGGTCATATTAATATGTAAATAAGAAAGAAAAAAGAAAAAGCTAACCGATTGCCATTGGTCCTTTGCTGTGTCGAACCCTATTGTGTACCCAACAGTGTCCCAATCACGGCTTGTTCGAATAATGAGTTTATATCGACGGCCATCACCTTTAATACGTAACTCGAGACCCTCATATGCCGATAAATCCTCTGGTACTGTGAAATTCTGTATAAAATAAATTTATATATATTTATAAAGTTTTGCTTACATTATTAACACATGTACCGGCAAGGAAATGCGATCGATTGCAAAGACAGAGGTAAATAAATTTACAAAATTACTTTTGTTCTAATACTGGTAAAACCTCCGTTGTTAGCAGTGGAAACAACTCCTGAAGAACAAACAAACATGAGAAAAATGTTCAAAGGCTATTACAGTAACTAGTGAAAAATTTGACAAAAAGCAAGAAAAGAACATTAAAATAAATACCTCTGAAAATTCCTGCGGGTCGATCATCATTTTCACCTCCCTTAGGATCTATGAAAAATGTACTCTCACTAACTCCTCCCATTACAACATCGTCCAAAGAACCCCAAGCGAGTTCTCTAGATAAATTGTCTGTTAAATGTAATGGAAAAGTAAAGTTTGTAACAAGAAAAGAGCTAATAACTATATAACCTCATTTTCAAAGAATCTATCACCACATATTCTCTAAAGATTTTGATCATTGCCAAATTCATGTTATTGCTATTTTGTGTCATATTGTTCCGATTAACATGAAAGGGTGTCTATGAATTAAAAGCTTAATTGCAAGAGCATACCTTCGAATCCAAAAACCAGCTTTCCACTACGAAGTCCAACAGTTTCCTTAACAGCATTGATCAGATTTTTCATCCCAATGAACTCCACCATTTCAGGGGAATCACCTTTAATCTTTTTTTTTTTTTTCACCAAAATAAATAAAAAACATTCAGATAAGCTTATCAAAGCTTCTGAACGTCCACAGAGATAGGCTGTAAACTACTGACCTCAGGTTCAAAGAATTTGATTCCCTGCATACAATTGATGGGAAACATATCATGGTTGAAATAATTATTGAAAAAAGCCATCGAGCTTTTGATAAAAGTTATGAATTTTTCTCATCTAAGTTGAACCTGTATAAACGATACCTGGCTATACTTGGCCCTATCTGGAGTATCACCTTCTTTTGGGCCAACAATCACAGATGCAGCATTAATCACCATTCTTATACCTTTAAAGTGCTCGGGCACCAATGTGCTTGCTTTTGTAATGTCCCCAACAATCTGTAGTGATATGCAGAAATAAATAAATATTGGACCTTCACAAGAAGTTTAACTGGTAAAAGGACAATCGTAATCATAAAATCATGGATTTAAGTAGCAATTGCAATCAGCCGCTCAATTTTTTTGCTAAACGGAACTAAGAACACTGACACTTGAGATCAATGCCTTTCAAGAATCATGTGATTTCTCTAAAGAAAGTGATTACAGAGATTAAACTGTTACATAAAACCTTTTTGGGCCATAATCTTGAAGCAAAATTAAAAAATCCAGCCGGGCTAAGTCCCCGGCTGGATAAATTAATATCACGGTTTCTGAAAGAAGCTTTACATTATCTTTAATATAAGAACATCCATCGAAAAATGCACACAATACCCATATCAAGAAGCCTGGGATTACCTTCACCACAAGAAACTTACCAAGTCAACATCTGGGCCAAGCATTTTCCTTGCTTTCTCTTCATTTCTGACCTGAAAAAATGATAATTCTCAAATGGAAACCTTAGAAGATGATAAAAACCCAAGCTTTAATTTCTTTACACACTTTCACTTTCGGCTCCATCTGAACTTGATATAAAAAAAAATACCAAAAAAATTACCAACACTCGAACGGGAATCCCCTTCTTGCGCAAGTTATCCACCACTCGTCTACCAACACCACCAGTTGCTCCTGCCACCAGCACAGTCTCAGAAGTCCCCATTGCCTTAACAGCTTCACGAGGTGACGAGCTGGACAATTTCTCGATGAGAAATTCAATAAACTTCAAATAAAAACAAGACCCATCAGCTTAAATAGTGTAAACAGTGGTTGGTTAAAAAAATGTGAGGAAAGAAAGGGCAAACAAGCAAAAAGGTGAAACCTTTACAGGAGATGGTGGCCCGTTAAAGAAATACAGTGTTTTCAAAAATCTACCAACATCCCAGCTTTGCTTTCCAGCTTCCGCGAGAATAATGGCTCTACGAGTTGTTCTCAAAGAATCGAATGGTAAGTTATGCCTGTAAACTAGCGGCTGATATTTATGGCCAAGAAAATGATTTGGAAATGGAGATGGTGACTTGTGTAATTTAGGGCCAATAAATTGAACATCCTGCAAAATCATAATTGAATTGGTAGCTCAAGATTTTGCCCTTTTTTTTTTTTTAATTCTTGCACTACCTATACAGGGAGCAAAACTCAACACCTAGCAGGCAATTAATGGAGATTTATAACAGAAATCCTATTCAAATACAGTATCTTTTCCATCTGTGACCAATGACCACATAATATTTACACATAACACCCTTCATGCCAAAAAATTTACAGTATGCTGTCACCAAACTTCTGCACAAACCCACAAAATTCTTGAGAAATCACACCCACAGGAGATATATCAAATATTTCAAAAGGCACGAATGTGAAAAAAAAAAAAGAAAAAAATCCAAAGAATGCACGCTATAGATAAAAAGTAGAAGGATTGGTTACTGTAGTAAGGCAATGGCATTCCATCTTTGTTCCCTTCTGTTGCAGAGAACAACCGCGAATGTGTGAGCAAGTATATGATCATATTGATGATATTAAAATCGCTGGATTAATGGGCACCACAAATTTTTGAAATGCTGTTTTTTCAAGGTCCCAAGTAGTCAAGTATATGACTATAGTCCTAATTGAAGAAGGTAATGGCCCAGGGACATAAGGCCCAAATCTGAAGCCCAATATCTAAGTTACAAAAGGAGCTGTATAAGCTAGCGGAAATTACACTGTTCACCTTCACAACCTTGTTTATTTGTACATATATGAATTTTTTATTTTTGAATTTAAAAATTTACACAAATATATAAACAGGGGGAAATTTAAAATTTTAAAAACCAAGGGAATTTCACTTCTGAATGTTATAAAATATATATATTAATATATAATATTTAACAGAAATGCACAGTCTCATAGATTCAAAGGTATTTAAACCATCAACCTCTTTGGGAAGTTCCAATACTACCCTTATTATAAAAACTAGTTATATTAATTAATATACAAAGTGATCCCCACGAATTTTCCCCCACACATATATTTTCGACGTAGTATTTTTCCCGATAAGAAAATCGTGCATGTTTGTGATCTCGACGACTTTTCCTTCGCATAGTAATCTATACTTATATAAACGGGGATTCTATTTATTACATTTAGTATTTAGAAAAGATAATTACATTAAATGACATTACTATTTCGGTATTAATATTTTATTTAACTGATTTATTTATCTATATATATAATAAGATATCATTTTTAAGAAATGGCAGGTCAACTATATGGTCAAATTCTCTCATCATTAATTACTTTTCATTAATTATAATTTATTTATTTATTATTTCTTAGCAAAAACGGACCAACATTAATTGATTTCCTCAAAATGTGGAAGTTGTTGCTTTATTTTTGTTCAGAAAATCGGGCTTCATTATAGAAATTTGTTCAATTACACAATGAATTTGCTATGATATAATTATTTTTTATGAGAACTTTTTTTTAACAGAAAAATATGGCATTTCAATAAGATTTTCGATTTTTTAAGACTGATTGTTATCACGCTATGAAATTGAACATTTCAATATACCTTAACAAAATATACGCGTGTTGTATACATCAGTTAATAGAAATATAGAATCCTCATATTTTTATATATATGTATGTAATTTTTCTATTACCAAATTTAATTGATAGTTGTTGTGTTATGGAATTTTCATAATTGTTACTTGTTTGTTGTGATATTTAGTTTGGTTGGTGTCGCAAAAATTCTAATCTATATATATAATAAGAATAATCATTATAATGCAAATTAAAAAAATATTGATATTAGAAGAGATTGAGTTCATGGTTTTTGTTAAATCAAAGTTGTTTAATTAGTATACAAAATTAAATTCTAAAAAAATATATGTTTATATTTTGTACATTATTTATACACTATTTAATTTTAAATTGATTACTTATATAAATAATACCAACATGCATTAAATATATTTCATTACATACAATGAAAAGAACAAGAAAACGTGCAACTTCTATAACGTTATAAATAATAATAACATTATATGGCAACAGAGTTTATAGTAAAATAATAATTGACTATTATATAGTGAACAAGAATAAGTAAAATTGTTATTTTCTCTTATATCAAGAAATAAATATATATAATAAAATTAAATTTATATTAGTATAAATGTGTTAGTGAGATAATATATATTAACTATTTTACAAGTTAGCCCTAACATGCTAACGATTAATATTCTGACTAATAAAACAACGCTGATTAAAAGATGTGAAAAATAGATTACAACTCTATTTTTTTAGACTTAACGGTGATTAAAAGAGGTAGAAAATGGATGATAACTATTTTCTGACTTAAACGAGACTTAACGGTGATTAAAAGAGATGAAAAATGGATGATAATCCTTCTCAAACTTAAACGGACAGAACCTGTAAAAGTAATTCATTTAATATAGAGATGGAAAATAGATGATAACCCTTCTCAGACTTAAACGAACAAAACCTGTGAAAATAATTCATTTAATATCTCTCTCGTGCATCCCACTGGTACGAACTAGTTAAGTTGAATAAATAATCACTTGGACCATACGCATTCAACAGTATATGTACTAATGTGGTACACGTTATTTTAACCGAACACGTGGTAGTTTATGCTTGCGCACAAATTTATACATGCTCCATATATATATTAATTTTTGAATTAGACACGCAAAGAAGAAACGAGTCCTCATAATTTTATTTTAATATATAGCTAGAGAATTAGTACTAATCCCATGCGATGCACAGATAAAAAATATTCATTAATATTTATAAATTAAGATTACTCATTAAATAATATTTATAAATTAAAAATATGGAATAAGTATGTAATACAATTTACCTACATTAATTTATTTAAAATATTTTATGAAATTTAAATTTAGCAAAATTATATAAAACATTCTATTTAAAATTAGTATACAACCCGTACGGTGCACATGACTGATAATAAATTACATTATATTCATTTCAAAATAAATGTCATTTTAAAATTTTTATTCAAAAATTCGATCTGAATACAATGTGGTTCCATTAAATAATTATTTTTGGTAAAGTACGTGTTGTTCAAACTATCATCCTTTGATAGTTTGAACAAATATCAATAATTTATGCTTCGGACGAACAAAAAAAAAAGCTTTTAAAGTACGTGTTGGGTTAGGACAATTTCTTCGTTAACAAAATCATAAAAACATTAGTATATATACTTTTGTTTTTAACAAAATATGAAGATTTTATTCTGAACAACATTAAACACAAACATTAGGACAATTTTATTTAGTTATTATTAAAGAAAATGTGATTTCATAATAAATTAGATTACATTGCAGAAATTCATAACTATGACACCTTTATAAATTTGTTGCAAAATTATTTTGGTTATACCTTAATTATAACGCTAATACTTATTAGTTGCAAAATTTCGTTACTAATGCATCAAATTCTAATAGTGTTCGAGAGATACTACTTAAAGTGAGGATTTTTTTCTTACTCAACTAAATATTATAAATACTTAACAATGACATATTTAATTTAACAGTTTTACTCGACGACAAAATGTTGAGCCCATACAAACATGTTCGCAATTGTTTCTAATAACACTGAACCAAACACGAGATTTAGCATATTTTTCATGCCGATAAGATCTTGATGGCGACTTGATGACGAAAGCATTTTGAACATATGTATATGCTAACAACCAGTAACAAAGTAAGTACTGGTTTTGATCTAACTTGTTTAAATTGTTTGTTTGAAGGTATAATAAACAACAGATAATGCTTTGTGTTTGTGTGTGGAACACGAAGTTACTAAATTAAATTGAATGTCAATTTAATATAAGTGTCATATGTTCGAAGCCTACAGTTGGTGGAGAAATGCGATTGAATCCGAATTAATGTTACTATATAACTAATATTTTCCAATAAATTTATTGATGTTTTAACATTTGAGAATTTCAGTTTCATTTATTTTCTAATTTTGTGGGACCTAATAATTTGACTTGAAATCGAAATATAATATACCCGAAATGGTATATTAATTTTGTGGGACCTAATAGTTGGTGGCGCTACGGTGTTGTTGCTACCAATTTATGCGTGAGGTGGGTTGTTTGTGACCGGATGAGAGGGTTTTGGTCTTGTTATTAGTTGTTTAAATGTGTTTTTTGTGCGTTTTCAGTGTTTCATTTGGTCTTTTTGTATTCGTATTCTCCTGTTAGTAGTTTTTATATATCCTCTATTTATTTGTGGGAGCTCAGTTTTTGTTTGTATGCGTTGAGCTAAGGCTACCAGTGGTGTTGACCTCGCGTAGTCCTCCAAGTAGATTCAGTTGGGTAATTGATTTGTTTAATTGTTTAGTTGATTTCTAGTATGTAATTATGTGCTTTTTTATTATAAAGTCTATCGTTTTGAAAAAAAAATATATTAAAGAAAGTATTGTTCACAAAATATTAATAGGTAATTGTAATGAATTGGATACTCGTTCGTAAAAACAATTGACAGGTTTGGAGAAAATAAAATTCAAATTATAAGAAAATTAGTTTTAGCTAAGTGGTAATAGATTTTTTACGAGAAGGATAGCTCAGTTGGTAGCACCATTCACTTGGGACTAATAGATCACGAGTTTGAGTCATCCAAGGGGTACGTGAGGAACCACTATTGATCCTCTTTTGTTAAAAAAAAAGTGGTAATATTACATTTTTCGTTTTAATTTTTTAATTTTTTATTTTTTTAAATATTGATTGACCGCCAGTGTTGANCAAACGATAGATAACATTGCACTCCAAAGAAAAGAGACAGTCCAAATACAACCGGTGATCCACTGATTACAAAGAAAGCTAGACATAATGGATACACCTAGCTCAATCAGACATGCCACTCACGGCTACATCTTGACACAACGGCATCTAAAAATAGAGGTTAAAAGGTTGATATTTTCTACACAAAATCCACGTCTAAAACAAAATATTTTGAGAAAATTAAATTAAATATCTCTAAATTGGGTAGGTCTTAGGCAGAGACCCTAATTATTAGACCGACACAATTTTTTTAATATAATTAAAAATATTACATATGATAGTACGAAATATCTACCTTTGGTCACAAATTATGACGGTTCACACAAGAATTTGTGCTATAAATATATTCTCTGAGTACTAAGTAACATTAAATTCATTTGTAGGAAAATCACATGACATTGTTCACACCAATGTACGAATTGGAGTGTGTGTTAATTCAATGATACAACATTTTAAGGTGAATATTTCCCTTTTCAAATTGCAATATCTGGACAAAAATAATTTGTCTCAAATTTGTTGACCACCATTCCACGACAACTTATAGTGGATCATCCATAATTAGTATATATGGGACTAAAATTATGATCTTACGAAATTAGATATATTTTATGATCATCCATAATTTAGTTCATCTATGAAATGAGATATATTTTATGGTTCAATATTATACTTTTAAGTGTTTTACTAGAATATGTATGTCAACCGAACCGTTCGAGNTAAAAACCGAACCAATTCCACTGCTCAAATTTGACTTGCCTTAATCAATTATATATATAAATCATCCTCCACGCCACTTTCCCTTAGTTTTCCTCCAAACACACACTCAAAGGAAAAAAAATAAAAAATAAACTTGTATAATTTATACTACAAAATATGGCTTTAAAGAGTTTGATACTTTTCATTTGGTTTATTATGGTTTTCTCAAACTTGGTGCCCTCCACAAATTGTAGGAAGCTATTGATCGCAAGCGAATCACAAGATAATAAATATATTGTTCATAGGCGGCCGGCCGACAGCCTGTACCTGCCGGCCCAGCAAAAGGTCATGACCCGCCACCTGGCCGCCGTAGACCGGATTTTACGGTCTGTTCCTAGTCCTGGAGCTGCCCACTAGTTTATTTATATATTTTTTTTCCTTAATTTTCTTATATTGGCAATTTTGATTTTCTTTCTTATCCAGATAGATTAGGGCATATATGCCTGGCTGCTACATGAGTAGTGTACACATGAAAGAGTATTTTGGTTAATGTGATTTTGTGTTTACCATGGTATTTAATTTTGGCAAAAATTTCACTTTTTAGTCTATTATATTGATCATTTCTCAGCAAATTAAGGACCACTTTTTAAATAGACATCAAATTTAGCACATTAATTTGAAAAATTCATCAAATAAGAATATAATAAATTTGAGTAGCATTACATTTTTTGAAAGTTTAAGGAATTAATATTAGTAAGTTCTACTTGATATAACAGTAATCATGGCAATGAGCGCCAACAAGAGCCGCTTAGATAAAAATCGTGACGCACGAGTGCCTCATAATTTGGTATTTAAAATACTGATGCTAAGTTCACGAAAGTTGGTATAAAATATAAACGTGATTCACTCCAATGGATGTTTAAAGGAAATCCAATTTGCCCATATCTCTGGGCTCGACTAATTTAAATACTACTATAATTATACTTGAATAAGCTAGCTAGATTCTATATGTCACGCCCCAATGGCTTAATCAAAATCAAAATTGAAGGAAACCTTTTAAATCTTTACATATATAAGATGCAAGTCACATAAATATCATATATATTAAACTAGTGCGTGGCCCGTGCGATGCACGAGAAAACAATATTACGATTGTATTATAAATTAAATATATAAATAATATTAATTATGATTTATCCATTATTTTTAAATTAAACCGGGTTGGACACAGTCCGACCGGATGGACAGAGAACCGGTTTATAACCAGTTTAGTTCGCTTGAATAAAAATATTTGCTCTCAAATCCGTCAATACCAGTCGGTTGGACTGGTAGGATCGATACGATTTTCTAAATAAATTTTGTTATATTTAAAATTATTTTAAATAAAATTACATATTTAAATAAAATAGAGATTTATAAATTATTTATCAATTAGTTTAAATATTTGAATTTATTAATTGTTTAGATAGATAGTAAAACATTTTATTTAAATTTATTACAAAAAGTACTATATATATATATATATTAAAATGTTTATAAATTAAAATCTGAACAAACAACAAATGATTTAATAAAATAATTTGATCATTTCAATGACGGTCCAGTTCTAAAAACCTTATATTACTGTATATTGATAAATATTATAATAAAATATTATTTAATTCACATAAATATTAATAAAATGATATATAAATATTCATAAATCATTAAATATGTTGTACTAAAATAATTGTTAATACGATTATTTGAAGTTTGGACTACATCACATTCACGTAATAAAATATTTTTAATATAAAATATATATTTAGGTTCAATAATCGATTTTGTGTGGTCGAGCAGATACATAACTCAGTCACCTGAAACCAACCAAGTTGTGTCAAGTTTTTTGACTATTTTAAATATCACCTAAAAAGTAATTCAATCAACCTGGGCAGTACCCTTGTATAATCACCCGATTGATCCGAAGAAATTTTCTTATTTTCTTATTTTCTTTAAATATATTTAATTTTATAAAATAAAAGTATTTTATGATTCATATAATCAATGTCTACAACAAATGATAGTATATTAAGATTATAAATTATATATCTAAAGATGAATTAATTATTTTTACTTTATGCATATTAATAAAAAATAAACATAGTAATTTTCAAAAATTAAGATTAATTGATTGATTAAGAGAGCTCGGAACGAATCGGTATTGATATTGCATATTTTTAGCGTTCAATATTTTTTTTAAAGGCACAAATATAAAGACCGAGATTTTAAAACTTTTGTTATATTTTGATTTGGGATTTTATAAATATAAAGACTGAGATTTTAATGTTGTTCGTTGTTTCTAAGAAAAAAACAAAAATAAAAACTTACACACTTAATAAATTTTCGCTGGATTTTTTAAATAATAAAATGAACTAAATCTTGAAATTTAAGGTAGCATTTAATGTTGTATGATTTTTAAAGAAAAAAATAAGAAAAATAATAAAACTTACTATTTATAGGCTGCATTAAATTCTGACCTAT